GTCAGAGAAGAAGCCTGTCTCACATTTTCAGGAAGACTGTTCCAGAGTGAGTCTGGTGTGTGCAGGTGAATGATTGGTGGTGGTTGGAAGAACATGGGCACAGACTAGTAGCCTCGCGTCTATCTGTCTACAGTAGTAGTTTACCATCTCAGTGTATATGAAGTAATTTAATACTGCAATGTGAAGACTCTTTGGATGTCATCAAAAGTGCTGAATAAGAAGTATGTATGAATATCTTACTTGTAGTCACAAAGTTTTGGTAATTTTCAGATTCAAAAAACAGTTTTAATTCAGAAAAGTCTGACTACTCTTGTTCAACTAACCAGTTTCAGCCCAAAGCATCTTGCAATAGATGGTGTGTTGTCTAAAAATGTACCATTTGATATTAGAGAAGTTAGGTAACCCACTGTTTGTGGGTTTGTGTTATTTGTTTACTTATTTTGACTGTATTTGATCAATGCCTTATCTGTATTAATATAATGGCAATTAATTAATGCATTGTTTTATAAAAAAAACTGGCCTATAATGGTACTGCAACCTCCCCCACTCTCCATGACTCAGGTTGCCAGATATGCAGACGAATCCAGCTGGGTCTATAATATCTGAATAGACAAGAGTCAAATCTGTAACCAACACCTTTTTCAAAAAGGCCTCGATTGAAATCCTAGTTTTATTCCTTGTTTTGTCATTAATAATTTGAGATTCCTAACGAGAGTTCTACCCCCACACGTTACTTTACCAGTGAGATTAGCTCGACACAGTGAGTTCTGGCAACCCGGATAACAAACTTTCTGATTGGTATAACGGTGGAGGGCGGGACATCAAAATGAAAACAATAACAAGATTTAGGGGCTGTAAAACAAATGTTTAAATTAAAATATCTCAGCTGAACTACTGTTATCAGTTAATGAAGTTTTCGAAAAGACCATAATTTATTAATGCCTTTTGACATCATTGAATGATGACTTGACATGAAAATATTACATATTGCTACTTTAACTGGGACCCCAGGAAGATTAGCAACCCCATTGGTGGAAGCTAATAAACAATACAAATCTGTTAAAGCTGGGGTACCCAGCTTTCAAACTACCAAAAAGTATGTAATAAAAAGTATCCAATTAGTTCTCAAGGCAGTAAATTTCACATGCATGTATTTGTTGGCCTCGTTCACATCTTTAGATCATCTTTTTCAGACAGAAAAGGGAAAAAGTGAGGACAACCCTCACTCAGGTTTTGTAATAAGAGTAAGACAGCATGTTGTTCACAGTATTCTACTTGTATATGACTTTATTTTGGGACAAATACAATGCAACATCTATCAAACAAAAAAGCCTGAACCTTAGTACCTGAACTTTAGGTAGAACACTGCACCGACCAGGCACTAATCTAATCTGTGGAAGATGGGCCGTGGGCTGACTCATAGTGTCTGTCCTGTCATAAACCATTGTGCTACACATTTATACAGGTCTATTCCTTCTCAATAGAGATACCTTCACAGTCTGGGATCGAACTTAACCAGACAGTGTCAACCAGACAGTGTCAAACTTGCCGTGAACAGAAATCGTTAGTTATAGCCTTTTGAGCTTTATTTTGAAAGACCTTCATAAACACCTTTTACTGCCACTGGAAGTTTTAGTTTTTTGTACCTTTTTTATATAGTGTGTTTTAGTCTGGCAGGCTACGCACGCCCAGTCGGAGCGAGGGTTGAAGCCAAGGTCACCGTGCCTGTCTGTCCTCATCAGCCTTTAAAGTGTCTGTAAAAATATGGCAGCTCTTCTTCACCAGCCGAACAAAGGTGCTCCAATCCGCAGACTGCAAAATCAATGAGCCAAACAGTACAGTGCATACAAGGAGGATCCACATTACTTAATGGGGAGACAGCTCAAACACATTTCTTCTCCTGGTGTCATGGGAAACCGGGGTAATTGGTGAGTGGACTGGAGCGTGTTTGTATGTGGGCTATAACAGTAAATCAACGGCAACATAAATCAATAAGAGGAGACTTGAGCCAAGAAAGGACAGAAAGTTTGGAAGCAATAGCGTGGAGACTGTTTGTATGCTTAATGTCCATGTACAATATTGGGTGATAGGACTAATAGTGCCAAAAAATCGAAACATTGTCTTCGTAAAGGACTATTATATTATTATCATTATTATTATATGTTGCGTTTGGCCATTTAGCTTGATAAGGGAACTATTTTCTTTGTGAAGAACTACCTACTACAATGTCATCATACTGTTACAGGACTGAGACAGAAGCTTTAGACAGAAGGGGCAGAGTTACAGTTACTTAGTTAAAAGCTAAGCTAATGTTTAAGTTGAGTAGTTCGGTAGTAGAAAGAAAATCAGGAGGACAGACAGCACATGTGTCTACTTCTTTTCACTCACGTGTCTTAGATTTTCACTGTGATCGCAATAACAACTCTTTTTTCTATGCGGGTTTAGTATTGTTTTTGTTTAATCAAATTAGAAATTGAGATCGATCAATATGGGGGAAAGAGTTATTTTTCTTTTCAGATGCCCATTCCTATAATTAATTTTATTTGTAAAGAAAATTGTAATTATTCAAGAAGAACAGCTGGATTTTTGTCAAATACTCACAAGCATCAATCACAAAGCAGAGGCGAATCAGAATCAGAATCATTTTAATTGCCACGTAAGTAACAGGAGGTCACAGACTTGGAAATTGCTTTGGCTCAGTGCAACAGTCAGAGAGATAATAAAAGATAAAGAATAAAAAAACACTTCTAAGGAATACATTTAAAATCAGTCTAACATGTGAACATTTGCGTACATGCTGCCAGCTGGATTTTTGAGAAAAACGCCCAACTTGGTTTCAGTGTTTTTGGCAAAAGAGTGTTCCAATTTTGGAGTCAAAATGTGGTGTAATTCTAAGAACTGATATCTTGCACAGTTGCTGCACTGTTGCCAGTCAAATGCAGAGCACATATTTCTCCTGCAGAAGTGTAGCTTCACCTTAAAGCTGGTCAATCAAGCTTTTTGCATGAATAATATCTATTCATGTACAATTTCTTATATTCATATAAGAAATGTGTTTCTAACAAATCAGACCCCAAGAAGCCCTGTGAGTCACTATTGGGCTCTTTAGTCGGAGAGGCTGAGTGAGCGTGGGCCTCTCTTGTTCACTTTTCTGTCTGAAGATGAAGAGGAAAAAATTACATGCATGTGAAAACTAGTGATAGAACCAAATTGCTTTGAGAGCGAGGAACTAAATGATTTTATGAAATGGTTATTTTGTATGGTTTAACAGTTAGGTAACTCAGCTATAAACAGTACTTTGTTTTTATGAACGAATATGATTTTAAAAAGTACAAACCAATCACCATCCTAAACAGTAGCATTTCCTCACTGGAATAACGTTGCCTCTTTTTATGAAAATTCAGCAGATATAAATCTTTTCCGTATAGATTGCTATCACTACTGTGGGGCTCTTATCATGAAGTCGCTGAAATCATTTGAATTCCTTCTATTGCTTGCACTTTATTGGCTGGTGGGGCTAATTAAAGAGAATGTCGCTGCCAGAATATTCGGTGTCATTGCTGCCGTGCTGTGTCCTGTCCGGAGGTTAGGGCCAAAGACGTTGCCAGGTTGCTTGTGTGTTGCATGGGGGCCTGACCTTTCTCCGCAGGCAGGTGCGACCCTCGCTGAGGCCATATCCAAGTCAAGGTTATCGCTGTGAAAACATAGACACGGGTGGAACGCATGCAAAAGTTCATATTGTTAAGTTGTAGAGCACTTTGGGCGTTTGCACTGGGAGGATTTCTGTTTGCACGGCATTTTGTCACTTACTCATTAGTTGCTGATTGATGGATCCTAAAAGCCAAACTCCTGCTAGTTCAGAATGATAATCAGCTCATTTTCTTTTTGTTTTCAGTTGCCTTTTCTTTGGTTTGTTCCCAGCATCGCGCTCCCTGCAGCGCTCCAAGAGTAAGGCTTTAATGATGAGGAGGCTGTCAGAGAGTGATGACCCTCTGAAGTAGATTGCGAGCGTGAATGAATAAGCCTTGATGTGTTTGTGCTTCCCTCATGTGCCACTACAGGAGAAAAACAGTATGAAGGCCTATTTAGGATGCTCCCCTAATGTCCAAAAGAGGAGACAAGTGAATATGAATCATCCTCAGCTCATGCCAGGATAATTGTTTGCCGCTGTTGCGCAAAGTTCTGTCTTCATTAGGAGAATACAGAACAAGTACAAGACACATGCAAACAAATGACAAACTGACATTGTTTGAGTTGGAGCCAGAACACGCACAAACATGTTGGTTTTTCTACATATGTTTGGAAAAATCTCACATGAAAAAGAGATAAAACAAGAGCGAGTTGACACGTTTGGAATGGCAGTCGTTCAGAGAGGCGCCCAGTGGAAAGTCATAAATAACCGGCGTTGTGAGGACAAGTTGAAGGGCATGTCCAGGGTGTAATAGACTCAAAGCCAAGCCAATTTGGATTTGACAAGTGGATAGATTTGTGGACTACAACAAAAGAGGAAATCTCGAAGAAAAAGAGAGCATATGGTGGGCACTACAATTATGGAAATGCTTAGAATACCGGCAACTATTTTCAGACAAGCTGTGTGGGTTGAAACATGCTGTTATGCTCAAAAGGTGTGATATTTTCAAAGCAGAGTGAACTCCACATCTCTTTATTTCGCGGTAACTATCTTTTGATTTTTCCTTTTATTCCGACCGTCAAAGAGTTGCCCCAATAACTCCCAGTGAAGTGTGTCCAGTGAGCTGAATATATAAGTATGTGTTGTGTACGGTTCATTATCAGCCTCTCTCTAATGAAGCTTATTTAATATTCAATGGGTGTGTTGTGTGTGTGTGTGTGTGTGTGTGTGTGTGTGTGCGTGTGTGTGGGTGTGTGTGTGTGTGGGAACTTCAGAAGAATGTTGCGAGTTAGCAGCTCTGCAGAATCTATGCTAGTTCTTTCCGTGCTTCTTGCGGATGGCTTACTGTATCGATGTTTCTCTGCCTCAGGTTGTGGCCCTGGGGAAGAACAGCCGTGGCTACCACTACATTCTGGCCAATCTGGTGAGTAATAATCCAGTCACTCCAATGGGACTGTTGTGTGTGATGAGACATGGATTTAACTTTACACCCACAATAAACAGATTAAAGACACAAATATGAAAGAGAAAAAATACATTATACAGCTGCTGATCAAAGCAGAATTGTATAAGGGCCTCAGAGAATGTTCCTGTTTTAAGTGAGGTTTCAAGATTGTGTGTCACGTGGAGAGAAAAACAAGAAGACCCAAAATGCAAAACTGCAAAATAATGGATTTAATAAAAACCAAGATCTTGCAAAAACGCCACAAAAATTTACCGAACCGGGGACAAGGACAAGAACTGAAACAGACGTGGAATGACAATGGCGGAACACACATCAGGGCAGAGAAGGTAATCAGACAACAGGAGGTCCAACTAAAGGGACACAGGGAGTAACAAATTACAAAATAAAACTTGAAATAAGCCTAAACTATGACGTTGTGGTTAGAATGTCCTGGGTTTGATTCCACTTCCAGACGGGGCATTTCGGTGTGGAGTTTTTATTAATCTCACACAGGAGAAATGTACATGTCACACTGTAAACCCTGACAAGTAAAGTTTACTTGAAAAAACCATGGAAATAAATTGCGTAGTTCACTTGAATTCCTCGAGTACATCGTTTACTTGATATTACCAAGTAAACTCAGGTGATTGCAATAAAGTTTAAATTTCTACTTATGCTCTGACTGGGATTCGTACTCAGAACCCTGTAGTTGAGAGGCAATGGTGCTACCCACTCAGCCACCAGGACACCCTGCCATTGTCACACCTGCATCATTAAATACTCTACACGTCAAAATGTCAAAAGTGAGGCTTACTTGAACAGAAACAGTTCAATTCAAAGAAAACCCTGAGTGACATAGGCAAGCTTTAAATAAACTAACAATAAATGAGTAATATTTACTTACTGGGAAAAATCTATTTGAAATAACTTTGATATCTGAAGTAGGATTGAAGTTAGGGTTTACAGTGCACATTGGCAAGAATTGTGCAAAAAGTAAGAAATGTACATGTTAATGCAGGACATATTATGTACAGAAAAGTGCAATTTGCATGTTCTCTCTGTGCCTGCTTAGTTCTCCTCTGAGCGCTCTGGTTTCCCCTACCACTAAAAACATGTACTGTTGGTCCTGGTTGAATAAAGGTCAATAAAATATATAGATGAGACATGTGGTTCTCAACAAGAAGGTCCTTAGTTTGAATCCCCATGGACACCGGGCTTTTCTGAGGGGAGTTTGCATATTCTACCTGTGTCTGCCAAGGCTTCCTCTGAGTGCTCCCTGAAAAAGAGATTTTGAAATCTCAATGAGACTTTTATACCTGTTTTAGTAAATATAAAAACAGTAAAATAGTCCATTTCATAGATCAAGATCACAAAAAAGCACTTTAAAATGTATTATGTATTTATGCACTTTAGTTTCAACTTGTATGCGTTTCATGTATATCACTAATTATAATCTTAGTGTCTTTGCGTTACCATTTTAATATTTACCTTTTTAGTATTTCCTCTGGAGTGCATTGGGAGTAAATGTTGCGGTGCATGGCTGGTATGGTAGTCTGCTGTGTGTTGTTTGAGGTGGGTCTTGATAGCTGGGTCATCAGATGTGTTTTTATTAAACTTTTAAAGCACTTTGTATTACTTTTTTGATAAGAGAGAACAAGAAAACCTGTGCATGGTTTGAAACAGATGCCTTAGATGTGTCACGTGGGTGAAAAACAAATGAGGCCCAAAAGGCAAAAACTGCAAAATGATGGATTTAATGAAAGTAATACAAATCAAGACCTACCAAAAACACAGGGAACGGACAGAACCAAAACAGACTACGAATGACAATGACGGAACAGGGAGTGAAGGAACACACAGGGCTAAATACAAGACTAACGAGACACAGGTGAGACAGATGAGGGCAGGGCAGCTAATCAGACAACAGATAAACAAAATAAAACAGGAAATAAACTTAAACCATGACAGTACCCTCTCCTCAAGGGACGGATCCCAGACGTCCCAAAAACAAAACCAGGGAGGGAGGAAGGAGGGGGACCGTAGGAAGGACCGGGGCGTGTAACCGGCACGAGAAGCCGGGGCCGGGACGTGAAGCCGGGGCCGGTACGTGAAGCCGGGGCCGGGACGTGAAGCCGGGGCCGGGACGTGAAGCCGGGGCCGGGACGTGAGGCCGGGGCCGGGACGTGAAGCCGGGGCCGGGACGTGAAGCCGGGGCCGGGACGTGAAGCCGGGGCCGGGACGTGAAGCCGGGGCCGGGACGTGAAGCCGGGGCCGGGACGTGAAGCCGGGGCCGGGACGTGAAGCCGGGGCCGGGACGTGAAGCCGGGGCCGGGACGTGAAGCCGGGGCCGGGACGTGAAGCCGGGGCCGGGACGTGAAGCCGGGGCCGGGACGTGAAGCCGGGGCCGGGACGTGAAGCCGGGGCCGGGACGTGAAGCCGGGGCCGGGACGTGAAGCCGGGGCCGGGACGTGAAGCCTCAGAGCTGGAGCAGGAACTTGAGCCGGGACTGGAGCTAAACGGGTACGGAAGGCCCCCTGGATGGAGAACAATATCCAGCGGAGCCAAGTTAGGGACGAAAGCCTGCAACCACCCAGGACGGAGCAAAGTGTCCTGCAGTGGTCCAGGACACAGACAGACAGACAGGGATGCGTCCAGCTCCTGCAGCAACTCTTGAGACCAGTCGGGGACAAAGGCCAGAGATGACAGAAAGCAGTCTGCTTGGGCCTTGTGTGGTTCCGTCATTCTGTCACGTGGGTGAAAAACAAATGAGGCCCAAAAGGCAAAAACTGCAAAATGATGGATTTAATGAAAGTAATACAAATCAAGACCTACCAAAAACACAGGGAACGGACAGAACCAAAACAGACTACGAATGACAATGACGGAACAGGGAGTGAAGGAACACACAGGGCTAAATACAAGACTAACGAGACACAGGTGAGACAGATGAGGGCAGGGCAGCTAATCAGACAACAGATAAACAAAATAAAACAGGAAATAAACTTAAACCATGACAAGATGCCATGCAAGAAAAGCAGCCTTTGTACAGTGGCTATAGCCTTCACTCAATATGTACTTGAAAGTAGTCAGGCAAGAATAAGAAACTTGCACAAAAAATATAACTTGTTTTATATTTGAGATGCAGTTTAAGATAGAGTTGAGTTAGGTATGAACATTGAAAGACAAACAAAATTCCATACACGACTTATACACACACACACACACACACATATGCACATACATACACACACACACACACACACATACATATGCACATACATACACACACACACACATGTAAACGACAGCAAACGTTGAACTTGTGGTATAATTTCACTAGAATCTCAAAGAGAAGTCTGGCTTGACTTAGAGAGCGCACACATGCTCTACAGCGCTCTAATAAACCCCGCTGCCACATGATGCAGACCTTTCTAGTATTCTGCTGAGCGTTCCCTTTCATTTCATTTAAGCAACTTCAAAGCAGAACAAGTTACTTCATAACATAACCCTATTGTCTCATCCTAGGGATTTACCAACGTGAGCCTGGACAAAGTCTTCGCCGGTGGAGCCAACATATCAGGGTTTCAGATAGTGAACCCCGAGAACCCCATTGTACAACAGTTTATGCAGCGCTGGGAGCGTCTGGATGAAAGAGAATTCCCCGAAGCCCGGAACACTCCTCTGAAGGTGCTCCGCCAGCGAGGCTTTTCATTGTGCATGCAGAATACAAGTCCTGCTCCTTCTGAAGTGGGCTCTATCACTTCTGCTTCTCTCATCCTTTGTTTGCCTTTGTCACTCTCCTCCTACGACCCCTCGGCCCGCTCAGCTTTGTGTTTCATCCCGCCCCGCGATCAATATATTGATAGGCGGAGCGAGGCAAGGTTATATCACCGCTTCAATTTACATCTAATTAAACAATGATCAAGAAAGAAATGGATTTTGAATGGCATTTAATTAGATTTTGTCATGGTGCACTGGTCAACAGCGAACATTTTGAGACAGGGGCGGTAAAAAGGTCAAGATAACATGATGGGAAAGTGCGTAGGAGATAAAGTATTGCTTTAGGCCACTCATCTTAAACTAAAGCTGCAGCAAAACTTCGGACCAATAGAGCCTTTCTGAGTGGAGTTTGCATGTTCTCCCCGTGTCTGCGTAGGTTTCCTCCGGGTACTCCGGTTTCCCCTACCACTAAAAATATGTCCAATAGGTCTGGCATGCGCCTCCTGTTCGGCGACCCCACTCCCATCTCTGTGTGGAGTGAGAGGACAAGTGCCCAAAAAATAACAATTGTAAACCGCTTTGTGACTCTGGTCTGTGAAAGGCGGTATATAAATAAAGCTTACTTACTTACTTACTTAGAGGCCTCATGACTAAGCCGTACGGTTTAGAGGTGAGGAAGCAGAATTCCCATAAGAAGCAGTAGTAATACCAGCAGTAATACCAGTTTTGATTATTCATTGTTTTATTCAAATAAACTATTATAGTTTAGTTTTTATTATTTTTTCTTTTTTTTTTCTTGTGGTGCATACAAGGAAAGACGAGTACTTTGGCACATGATGAGGAGGAGCAAACTAGTCTTTAAAATATAGTTGATATTGAATATAGAAAGGGTTTAGAAACTTCAAATACATTTCTTATCATTTCAAAAATTGTATTATTATTGTATATAATTATACAGACATACAAAAGGTCCAGTACAACAAAAGCGGTAATTATAATACACATACAATCTGCACAACACAAAAAATAATAGTAATAATAATTTCAATTTAAGACTGTTTGTATATAGGATATTACAAAACTTTTATGACTGATTTTTTTGTAATATCCTTCTTTTTGAGCAAATGTAGAGATCTAATTGATAGACACCCATTAAAACTAACAGTACACCATTCCAGACCAGCTGTTCCCCAACTGTTTAAAGCAACAGTCTGCAATTTCCGTTCCAAAAAAGTAGCTCAGTACGGGTAGAAAAAAAAAAGGTTAGATACTCCTATTCTAAACTGTCTAATGTAGCCTTTTAATTCCACTTCATCAAAATAGTACACTGGAGATGAAGTATAAGTGCACGTTGGAAATACTTACACTATTGTGAAACCACTTACGAATGTATGAACACGGCTGGTTGGCATATATACAGCAGCTGGCCTACATTTCACTTCTCGTCTGAAATTTGAAAGAAATATTCAGCCAACGGCCCCAAACTATAAAAAGTCATGAGCAGTGCTACTTTTCGGTGAGGAGTCCTGGAGCCCCGCATCTTCCCGAGATTCCCCTGATTTTCACAGCTTGTTCAACCGGAGTCTCACGGCTATTCCCCTCTCCCGCAGTATACCTCTGCCCTGACCCACGATGCCATCCTGGTGATCGCAGAGGCGTTTCGGTACCTGCGGCGCCAGCGTGTGGATGTGTCCCGGAGAGGCAGCGCCGGGGACTGTCTGGCCAATCCCGCTGTACCCTGGAGCCAAGGCATCGACATCGAGAGAGCTCTCAAAACGGTAGGAACGAGTAGGGGAGGGAGTGCGGCAGACAGATAAGTAAAGAAAGGCTTGAAGAAGAAGTGAAGCAGAGATAGCAGAGCGCACTGGCTGATAAAGATGGAAAGTGACAGTGAGCGCCGAGCCTTTCTCCTCCCTACGCCTGCAGATATCTGTGCGAGGAGCTCTCTCAAATTCTGCCTCTCATTACCATAAAACTACATCTTTTATTAAAGTGTATCCAGCTCATCATTTGATTAACAGCCTGTGCTCACTCCACTAGTTCCGTCGGACATGAGCACCGCAATACCTGCTCTATGTGTCGGGTGATTGCATTTCTATATGTGTCTGTCTGTGTCTGTCTGTCCCACACGGCAGGTCCAAGTGCAGGGGATGACGGGAAATATCCAGTTTGACAACTACGGCCGCAGGACAAACTACACCATAGACATATATGAGATGAAAACAGGTGGGCCGAGGAAGGTAAGCCTGAACGACAGCCTCAATCAACTGTCAACGCATCCGTCATACAGGCCTTATCAAAGAGCACACAACCAGGGTTCTGAAGACCTCATCCTGTATTGATCCATACAAGAAAACTATCAGAGAGATATCCACAAGTATCTGCCACTGAACTCGGTTACAGAATTCAGGGCTTGCTAGCAGGGGCGGTGCTACTATCTATTAGGCCAGGGGAGGATCCTGCCTGGGGCCAATCTCAATCTGTTTTTTTTTTTTCATAATAATAAACAGCATTCGCAATAATATTTAACACTAGAACTTCCAGAGCAGTCACTTTGACGGCTTTTTGTTTTGAAAGTAGTTACTCAGCTAATGCTAATTTTTTATCTTCATAACTGTGATTTTTTTGTTTTGTTTCTATGTCATTATTTTTATTATGGTTACTGTTACTGTAACTTGCTACCAGTTAGCATTTGGTCTTCCAACAAATGTATATCAAATTATAATCACCAGTTTTAACACTTATTAAATATGAGTAAAGGTACATTTGAATAAAACTGATGATAAACTGAATAGCTTTTCAGAATACCATTGATTTGAACTGGAGCAGTCAAAATGACGGCTCTGGGAGTTCTAGTAGTTTCATGCTTCTGGAAGTCCTCGTGTTCATTTCTATCTCACTTATAAACACACAGCATTATTGTTTAACCGCAGTCATGAAAGAAGGTCCCATCACACACAATTGCGTTGGGCCCCTAAATGGCTACATCCGCCGCTGCTTGCAAGTATAAAACATAAAACAGTATGACATTTTCAAACAGGTCCACGCTGTCATTGATTAAAGTAGAGAGCGCTTACGCAGTCATTCTTTGTGCCATGAGAGCAGCAGAGCTCAAAGGACAGCAGAGTAATGCTGATTGCATGCTCTACCTTGTGAGGTGAGCTAGCAGCATTGATGAGCTATGCCGAGTGTATTACAAGCCCCACAAATCACACACCGCCCTCAGATCTGATGGCTCAAACTGTCCTATCAAATGAGTGATTGAGGACCTCTTCTATGCCACGGGGCAGCTATGAATTTTGGTCCTCTCCTGACAGTAATTACCATTCAAATAACCAATTACAGTAGAAAGGGGCTGCAAGAATTCCTCTGGCTGCTCTTCAAAACGGTAATTCCCACTGGTACATTTGCATTTTAACCAGTAACATATGATGACCTCTGGTTTTATAACCTCGCCAACTTTCAACAGACAGCTGAGAATTTTCTCGTTAGCTGGATCTGAGTGGGCTCAGGCTGATATGACGTGTGATTAGAACTCTTCCCCTACAGGCCTGAAGCCCACACTTCTTATAGTCCTCAAAGCCAATAGCCAAATACAGAGCCAAAGAAGGATGTAAAGGAAGCAGGACACTGGGGAGAGAGGAAAAATGTGAAATCATCGCTCAGCTACATTTCAGAACACAACACTGACCATTTAAGGCGTCGGAGTTATTGATGTGGAATGTTTTGTATTAATACTAACGTTTTTCTTATCAAACTGCTTACCTTATTTTGGAAGTTACCCACATATTGTTATGGCTTGCACTGAGCTACTATTAGACCGACTATAAAGCTGCTTCCAAGCCACACAGAGATTAAGAATTGAATTGTTGATCACATTATGTGTACAAAGGTTTTTAAGGGTCTTCATGTGTTTCTTTAAATCATAGTTCCAACGCAAAAACGTGCTGTTTTAACACATTCAGAAGAAGATAGTACATATTGTTCTTTGGTAATGGTCATATTTGTCTTAAAATATTTGTAAAAGTCCATTATGACTTCCTATTCTAAAACACAAAGAAGAAATTGGCATTAACCAGTTTTATTAAAAGGTGAAAACACATTTTCTGACCTGTCAAGTTCCTAAAGTAAAGGACATTGTAACTTTACTGATATGAACTAGAATAATGCACCCAGAATGAATGTTTATAATAAGAAAAACCTAAAACATGGTTATAAATATGGATGCACCAGTCTTATACCGAGATACAATGGCTTCAATATCTGCTGATACCAGTGAAGGTGACTGATAATTGCATTTTACTTCCCACTTACACAACGTATTACAAATCGGTCCAGTTGTGTTTTAAACAAGCTGTTTATCCAATAACAATAGAACTACTGTCTGAGTAAACTGTCTCTATACTGTAGATGGTATTTAGTGTATTATATATCGGCAAGTAAACAGACTTATTACATCAAAATAAAAGGCCTGACAAAGACTGAACCAATATCATCAAAGTAATACCCAATCCATCAAAACTACCAATATCGGCACCAATACGCAATGCCAATATTGTATCGCTGCATCCCTAGTGATAACAAGGTGAAATGATTATGTTCGCTAGTGCATAGTTTACTTTATGGAAATGTGTTTGACCCATTTATGTCCCCTTAAAGATAAGTACATCCTGTCCGCATATATAGATGTCTGGAATGCGTGCAAACAGAAGCATTAGTTTGTGCAGGCTGACGTTGTGTCTCTGGAGTCTGCTCACTCACAGCAGGGGAAGTTTATTTTACCTGTGCCTGTCATATTTGATGCTAAGTTGGATAAGTGTCCAAGCAGCTTGAATTACAATCACACTCTTGCCTCTAGTCCAGCTTTCCAAACACACTCGCTCCCAATATCCTTATCAGACAAACCTGCTTTTTTATCAGGCCGGCAAGTGAACTAACTGTGCAATCCATATTTCCAACTGCTGAATGTTGATAAGTCTGCTGCTTTCTAGCGCCTCCACTTGGCAAGTTAAAAGCCCTGCAGTTTTGTACACCTGTCTGGCCGAAACATTTAAAGATCTAAGGGCAAAAGAAGGCGCAGACCAGATGTGAGGAGGGAAAGTCGAGCCAGCAACAGTTTTACTATTGGCAGCAAACTATGCTACACGTTTCATCATGAGCCAGAACCATTATTTCAGATGGGCAAACAAACACTTGACATCGGTTTGACTTAAGCATCTGTACAGCAGGATACACAGTAAAAGCAATGGCAGCTCTGAGCACAAAAACTGCAGCTAGTGGGATATTATGCTAAATTATTAAATGTGTATCCAGTTCACAGTCCTGCCGATCAATTATTTACCATCAAACCTGAGAAGCCGGGAATAGGAGGAGCTCAAGTATTCTACCATATGCTTGTGTTTTGATTAATCCACATACTCTGCTCGCCATTTCAAAGTTGGAGTACCTCAGTAAAGAAGTGTAGAAAATGTACTAATGCTGCCATGCTGTAAAGGAATACACTAAGGAGCAAACACAACTGTAATACGGCAAAACAAAATGAAAAGTTGGGAGAGTTTATACTTGCACAAACACAAGACAAGACATATTTGGTTCACAGTTTGATAACAACGTGGTCGATTGGCCAATGCTGAGTTTCTTTTGTGATATTTTCTCTATAAACCTAGACTCATGTGTCTTCTTAGCTTGACCAGCCAGACTCTCTACTTTCTTACGAATGTAAAAGCAGAAAGGGTCTGAGAGCAGCCACATTTGTTCCCTGCACCCCAAGACTGAAAATCTGCAGACCAATCACAGAGCGCAGAACTGGGAACGCAGAGCTGGCGCTGCATCCGATTTGTCAGTTTCTCCTTCCTTGTCCTTCCCTCTTATTATTGTTGACCAGCGTGTTAGTGAAAACATCTTTGAACTGTGTTGAATGACACTTGACCAAACCTGGAGCTCCCCCCCTGCCTCATACAAGGTCACTTTGGAAGCTTAAGGAAAGAAAAGCAGTTATTCTGGCTCAATTTGAAAGCAAAAATCCAAGATGGCAACGGGTGCATGTTTTTTTATTTTGTCTGAAACACAGACTAAAGGAGTAAATCAACACCTGTCTTGGCAAAGTTGTAAACATGTGCACATTGGGGGTGAAAAAAAAAAGTGTTTGGCTTTTCTGCCGCCACTTCCTGTTTTCTGTCCAATCAAATCCATCAGACCACAGCCCATGAAAAGGGCAGCTCGGATCCAGACTTCCAGAAATTGTTAAATTGTGGGTCTGGCTGGTCAGGCCAGTGCCTTCTACAGTATATTCATAAATACAATGGTGTTTCACTAAACATTTTCTGTTTGCAGATTGGGCACTGGAACGAATTCAGTCGATTTGTAAATATTATGGACCCGCAGGTCTCCAACGACTCCTCAGTGGAAAACCGAACGATTGTGGTCACTACTATTATGGTACACTTTCCGTGTAGTTTTTAATGTTTGACGTATTCTGCCACTCAAGGTCATGGTGTTGATTCTCATGAGTGAGACATTCTGTCCTGGGCGGGTAGAACCACATCTTTTTTGTGTTGCTTTCCATCCACTCACTACATGTTGAAACAGTCGATCTTCGAGAGAGTGTTTCAACTGTATCAGTGTGGGTGTCAAAGCATTTTGAGTTCCCATACTTCAGTGGCCTGTCGTAGCAGTGACATCACAATAATGGTAAATTATTATGGTTGACTCCATCAATTACAAACGCATACAAACGCATACGTAAGTAGACCTGTCTTTCCTCATCAAGTAAATGTTCAATGACATCGGGATAGACTGGCCGGAGAATGAACACTGTTATACAAAGATGGTTTGACAGACGGGCAAAGCAAAATAACTCACTCTGCAGCTGAGGGAGACAGTGATTCTGGCCTCTGCTCAATTTTGCATTGCCCTCTTAATTGTTCTGTGTTGAAGTATGACCTCATCTGTTGAATCCAGATGAAACAAACTGTATGTTTATTGAATTGGAAATGTATTTTCCTAACACTGCATTGAATGGTAATGCGATAGCACGATAATGATCTGACACTGAAACAAACATTAAAATGCATAATAAGGTTTTGTTATTGCTTTCAAATTAAACATGCATAAGGGAATAAGCCAGGCCCATTCAATAACATCAGGAAACATGAAACATCTGCATATGAGAATACCGTCAGGAGGTAAACATGTGTAAACTTGAAGAAACTTCTCAATGGATCTGAAGTGAGGAATAAGTTCAGCACAGAACAAATAAAACCATTGCTCCTACATGCACTCTAATTGTGTGTGGCTGTAATGACGATACATGGTCTCCTGAGCGCCTTATTGTTTGATAATGATTATGTGCTCAATGAAAGAACAGACAAGCTGCACCAGCCTGGGAGGGAGAGCATAACTAGCACGCTCCTGCTCTTCCAGTCAAATTATTTATTTGATTTATGCAGTATTTTGCATTTCTTGACAGCAAACAATGGCTCATTTTCTTTAATTTATTTATGTTTTTTCTTTGGAATGGAACAGTATTTAACCACGCCTTGATCCAATGTGCTTGACTATGTTAAGATACGATGGGCACTCTGATCCCTTTCCTGTCACTGGCATTTACTTATGAAAGCCATCTCAATTCCCATCCCACCCACTCAGAGCTGACCCACACCTTGCATACCAATGACTTTCAGCCCAAATATCAAATTGAGTCTGCACAGTGCTACTCCTCCAGCACAAACTTTGTGCTTTTCTTCCCATAACTCCGGCGGAGTTGCACCCCTGGGCTCAGAAGGATTGAGTGCATTGGGCTTGGTGTCTGGCTGCAGCGGCTTTGATGAGAGCAGTGTGACCGTTTGATTACACTCCTCTTATCAGTCTATATTTATGCATTTGTGGTCATCATCTGTATCTGCATGACTGCATGACTCTGGATAGAACAGCCTTTCAAATCAGCTCTTTGAGTGAAGTGGGGGCATGTGTGCATATTACTGTGAGACTGAGTGTGTGCAAGGCATGACAGCAGAATAAACCAAGTGTGTTTAAACCTACAGGAAGCTCCTTATGTGATGTACAAGAAAAGTTCTATGCATCTGGAGGGGAATGACAGATATGAAGGCTACTGCGTCGATTTAGCATCTGAGATTGCCAAACATGTTGGAATTAAGTACAAACTGTCTATAGTAATGGATGGAAAGTACGGAGCCCGTGACCCCGAGACCAAGACGTGGAACGGGATGGTGGGTGAACTGGTCTATGGGGTGAGTACTGGGACCCTTGTATTCACTGATTACATGACAGTTTGCAAGGAACTTCAACATGAGAGGAGATCTCATTTTTCTGTCTCAAGCTTATCACCAACTCATTTGAACTCATCAGCCAATGTCCAGTTCAAAGTGTAACACTGTCAGAAAGCTCTGCTGTGAGTTATTTTTGTCAAGTGCAGCCACGGGCATCAGGGAGTTGGTGATCATCTCGAGACGGAGAAAATGAAATCATTTCTCAGGGCTGTTCATTGCAATTAAATGTCCTTAGCTTTGAAAGGCTCTCTCATTTATAGCTGAAACAGAGGTAGGTACATGCAAACAATGAGTCCATATGGCAAACACACTCTAATCACTTTGATGAATGAAAGATTGTACGCCTTTGAAGTGATTATGTTTCCTTGTTTGATGTGTATGATGATGGATTTACCACATTGTAAATTCACAGCTGAAAAGATCTCGCGTTCGAATCAACAGCTAAATTGTGGTCTGTGACAACAAGATCCATATGTGTTCTGCTCCATTAATAGTTGTAGCTTGTGCATTAGCGAACGGTCATGCCGTGTTTTACATCTGAGAGAGCGCAACACCTCCCGCATTCCCAAATTATACCCCTCAAAGTAGACCCCCCTCTCTCCCTCTTTACCACGTCGCCCCGTCCTCTTGTCAAGGGCCACGGTAGTTGAAGAGGGCCGAATACAGAATGCATGGGGTTAGGTTTCCTCATCTGTTCAATTTCCCAGTTATCAGTGGCAGAGATTGCTCAGTTTGATGTGCAATTGTAGCCAAATCACCTTTCGAACGAGAAAAGCCCACTCCCCGCAGATGCGAGGGTGGAAGATGTCCCAATCACATCGCTGTCAAACCTCTCCCTGTCTTGTGATCGCAAAGCTTTGGCTGCGAATAATGGTTTTGTACATTTGACCTTTTGACCAGTAAATTAATTAGATTTTAGTTGTCTTTTAAAGGTTAGGCTTGAGGCTGTTCTTTATTGCGTACTTTCCTTGGCCATTGATTGACTGCTGCTTACGGCGGCACAAGGATTAAATGGTTATAGCCCCTCCACTGCGGTGTTGACAAGACGAAGAAAACACTCATGTTTATTGGGCCAGTTTGTTGTTTCTCTGACCTTGTAAAATGCATTTTCCTCAATTCTGTGTTTAGTCTGTTTGGAAACAATAAGGCAATAGCCACAACGCCAAGAATTATCTTTCACACATTGGCTGGTGCTAAATAAAGAGAGCTTATTTAACAAGCACACGAGCAGCACTAACATGGGCTAACAACGTGTATTATTTCTGGCCCTTTTACAAGGAAATCTTGTAAAATTGTGGCCCACCTCTCGCACAGTGTTTTGATAACACAATGCGATTGAAGCCTTAGAGCAAAGGCGGGAGATAAAGAGAAACAGCTTGGAGGGAAAGAGGACTGCCAGATTCTGATGTGTTTGGGAAATCCACCTGCTGTTCAAAGCCATGCAGTCAATACACGCCATGTTTATATTAGTGCTGGGAAAATACAGTGTTCTGAGAGAAAAACATGGAAATCAAAGTAACGAGTGATTCCATAGACGCTTTTAATTGTTTTGACTTTCACCGGCTCAGAGAAAAAACTTTTGGCCCAACAATTATGACAATGATCCTCTGGCCCATGCCCTGAAAGCGTTAAAAAATATATTGAAAATGCGATTACTGCTGGTCCTGTTGCTATTATAGCCCCTGCCCTACTCATGCTCTCTGCAACACCTTGAAACTGATGATGTCTGCAGTTCAATTCCAGGTCCAGACAAATCCACACTGTTGCTGTGTTGTTGTACACTTACACAAGTTACTGCACTCAGCTCACAAATGTGTGATCAGTGGGTGAAGGATTTGTGGTTGAGGGAATGTTGCCAAAGCTGTCTTTTAATATACTTCCAATCTCAGAGATAGCTAAACTGTGTGGCTTTTACTCCCAAAAATACAACTAAGACATATTTTAAAAACTGAGTTCAAATGATTTTTTTATATATTTTTATATATATTAATATGTTCTACTTTCTGCGATTCTATCTTGAGTTATGATCAAGCTGAAGTTTGTGAGGGTGACTTAAGCTTCCATCTGCCTCAGTGGAGTATCCAAGCTGTCCCTTTTCCCTCAAGCTCTAAAACACTGTATCTTTGCCTGCTTCCCTACATAGTTCTTATATCACTCAACCCAACGTTAAATGAAACGTATAGAAAAATGATATACAATGTAAATATTTTTTCTTTCATTAAAATTAGACCTGGAGTTGTTTGAGTGGCACTATATATACCGCTTTCAGCACAAGTGAACCAGAATACAATGAAATGTACTGTCCCCTTTAAGTGAATATCAGTCACTTTAACTAAAATCCTTGCCATTGGTCAAACTATTCCCCTCCAGCAAATGGTAGTTGTTTTGCCAAGAGAAGGGACAATTTAGAAATACAGTGGTCCCTCACAATAACACGCACTTGCTGTTTTTGTGTGCAATTTTGCTTGCTTTTTTCACAGGGTGTTTCTTATGCACCAAATGTATATTCCATCATATAATTGTGAGTATAACATGACAGTTACCTTTAAACAAAGGTAACTGCATTTGTGCGCTGCTGTGATCAGTTCAGAGGGCTACAGCGGTCTTCCCGTAGCCCTCAGTCCTGGTCCTGCCCCATGTTACAGTGCAGTGTATGCACGGATTTTAACAGCTACAGCAGCAGTCAGACCTACAATGAACAGGTTTGATTGCTGCATGATCGCACTTCAGCAGTTGTGAGTTCAGGTGGTCAGAAAAGTCTATAAAGTGTGTGGTGAGAGGTTTTACAGCCTTAAAACATACAGCTGCTACTTTCAAGATTTATTTTATTGTCGGTTATTTTTAGGCCGTAACTCCTGCGATAAAAACGAGGGACCACTGTACTTAATTCTCACAATAGCACAGGGTCATATGGTCAAAAATATGCATTGTAATGAAATACAAATGAAGTGCTGACAGTATATTTTCGTTATGCCTGAGTAATCTCTGAATGTGGCAGACTTCTATCTCTGCAATACTCAGAATGATCATTGAACTTTGTGATAACCCATCTTTCTGCATTTCACTGAGCAGGTGTCATGTGGGCGTTCTTCTCCTGTCTAACGCATGCTGTGCCTGTCCCTGTTTCCAGAGAGCAGATATAGCAGTTGCGCCTCTCACCATTACACTGGTTCGAGAGGAGGTGATAGACTTTTCCAAGCCTTTTATGAGTTTGGGTATCTCCATTATGATAAAGAAGCCCCAAAAGTCCAAGCCGGGAGTGTTCTCGTTCCTGGACCCGCTGGCCTATGAGATCTGGATGTGTATAGTGTTTGCCTATATTGGGGTGAGCGTGGTTCTGTTCTTGGTGAGCCGCTTCAGTCCATACGAGTGGAACCTGGAGGAGCAGGACGAGGCCAAAGATCCCCAGTCTCCTCCAGACCCTCCCAACGACTTTGGCATCTTCAACTCACTCTGGTTCTCCCTGGGCGCCTTCATGCAACAAGGCTGTGACATCTCCCCAAGGTATGACCAATAATAGTAATGATGGGGAGAGGTTGTAATATCCGCAGGTAAAAACATAAGTACTTATACACATAGCTTTGGTTTCTTTTATTTGAAGTTGATTGTGTTTTAATGTGTAATGTGGTTTATTCACTATTTCAGTGGGTACAGGCCAACACATTTTAGCTGCTGGGTCTATAAGCTTGGTTTTGGCATGTATTCTTGGGCTGGTAATGAAAACAAAAGCAAAGACTTACACGTATATTATTATTGTGTTAATAAAGGTAGGTTAAGCAAAACAATTAGTATAAGTGCACTATAATACATGTTAAAACATACAGAAAAAAATCACAGAATACAGTAAGTCAAAAACTGTTAGTCCTGAGGCCTTGGCAATAGCTTATTCTTAAAACACCCACATTCATGCAAATGTAACAATTCCAAAAGTAATTTATTCATCAAAATACACTGATTCATCTTAAGTAGAATACTTAATCTCTTACAACACTATTTCAGTTTTCTCTCCATGTCACATTTCTAGAGGTGGCGAGTAACCCAAGCCTATTTTTTTACTTAAAGCGGCGGTGCCTAACTTTCAAACTGCAAAAAATGGAACGATGTAATTCAATTTAATTTGTTCTGAGCTAGAACAAGTTTGGTTCCAGCCGTTCTACTAGTTTTCACTTGCATGTGTTTTTGTCGTCACTTCTTCACATCTGCAATTTCAAACTCTCACTCGGTCCACAGCGTCAAACAGTGACTCACAGAGCTCTTTCTTACTAGTGTGCAAAAGACAATATGTTTTCTAATAAGACGCATTATGTGACAGCATGTTGTGGTCTGTTTTATTCATTCATACAACTTTAGTCTTTTTTATGGAGACAAAAGTTAGCTACCTCAGCTTTAAGTATTTTTTGTTGTATCTCTACTTGACATTTTGAATTATGAATAGCTTTATTTTGTTTTACTCATACTGAAGTAAGGGGGTTCTTTGGTTGACTTTTCACATTACTTATAGTGAATAACTTAGCAACACTTCTGTAAATATCCTATCATTAGTGGCAACCAGATTGTATTGGTTTCTCAACGTAAGGCTTCTTTTACATAGTTACATAATTTGATATTGCTTAAGGTTTAACCAAAGACGCTGGGTACACATGGATCTGCTCTTGTGTGTGCTTCTTAGGTCTCTGTCTGGTCGTATCGTTGGTGGAGTGTGGTGGTTCTTCACCCTCATCATCATCTCTTCTTACACGGCTAACCTGGCGGCCTTCCTCACCGTGGAGAGGATGGTGTCTCCCATAGAAAGTGCAGAGGACCTGGCCAAGCAGACTGAGATAGCATATGGCACTTTAGACTCAGGGTCTACAAAAGAGTTTTTTAGGGTGAGTAATCACAACGTGCAGTTTCACACACACGGATATCACTTTGGCCGAGAAAGGCGACAAAGGCTATCTGGTAAGAGGGTAGAAGAAGAC